CCCTGGCGTTCCCGCGAAGTCTCTGACTGACTTCTCGTCCGCGACTGAGTCGCATTCGCGCTGCCAGAAGTATTCGACGGGGTCGAAGAGCGAGGTCCGTCCTTTCCCTTTGGACCTTTACTTTCAGATCTCTCGCCCCTACCTCCGCGGTCGTTCTTTCCACCGGCTGCCCCTTGATCATCACCCGCCCCCGGCTGAGCCGGCGCGGCCGATGTCTTCGGCTTCCTGTGACTATATGGACAACCTTGCCCCGCTTCGGGACCATTCTTTCCTTGCTTCGCAAATTTGCAGGTCGTCTCACCTCTAGTCCGCCCGCTTGCCGTCTTGTCCGCAGGCAATCCCAATCGGTGGACTGTTGCTGCCATGGCGGAGGCTCGTCGTCCACCGCCACCACCCTCGTTTATTCCACCTGCAAGGCGAGCCTGCCTGTTTCTAGACTTGAGAGTCGATTCATGATCTGATATTGCCCACTTTTCTCGGTCGCGCATCATAAGCCACTCGACCCGGTGCAAAGGCCACTGATAAGAGCACACCCCTGTGCCTGGAGGATCCGTCGACAACTCATACCATTGCATTGCATACTCAAGCCTCGGAACCTGTTTGATTTGTTCATAGAAATGCGCATGAAGTGAAGCCTTCATTTCATCCGACGGTTCCCTGGCACCATACAACTCTTGATATCGCTCCATCCATTCACTGTAGAAGTCATACATCCCGGTTGGGCTTCCGTCGGTCAATTGTCATCCTAAACAGGTCGCGGCATATCCAGTGTCGTCCGTTCTCCGACCTGACAGAGAGCCAAACACATATTGCGCGAATCATTGCTCGGTCCGTAAGAACACGCCCCTCTATCTGACATGAATGCTCCACGTGATTGATTCGCGAAAGGAAATGAGTGCGTTGTAGTGACAGATTACGGTTACGCTTCACATTGGGAAACTGTTCGATCAAATGTGTGGCAATCATCATATCAAGACGCATCAACGCCCTGGGGCCCCGAAGGCCCTCCTTCGGCACCTCGGGCCCCATGGCTTCAGCAACCCACGTTTGCGCCGCCTTGGCATCATGCCATGACCCGGCCACTGCTCCAACGCAATCAATGTTGCCCCCATTCACGCAGTGCCTGGACACTCGGGACGCCCAGAAGGCTTAGCTCTTCATTGTTACCGAAGCTCCTCAAATTCGCATCCATTTGGCTGGCATTGAACGAATGCATAGTTGGGCCATTGTGGCCATTCGGCCCCTCACCGCCATCTCCGTCTGGATCACCTCCGTCACCAGGCCCCCCAGGGAGGCCTTTGGGTGGCTTCGGCCTACCCGTCTCGTCAAATTGCACGGCTACAATCATGCCCGTGCTGGGCGCCGCGCTCCGATCATCACTCCGGTCGTCGTCGCGCCCCCCCAGTTCTCCGCCTCCCCCGCCAGTTACGACTGAGCCGATGGCGACAGGAAGGCGACCAGGCAAGTCGAAGTTGTCGGGGTGCCCTGAAATTCTAGCGTTGAATGGGACATCCCCAAGACCCTCTCCCCGAATGCACCCTTGCATCGAACCTCCATTCGCGCCGAAAGACTTCTCGACAGATGGCCCCGGAACGAAATGCAACTTGGCGAGAGAAAGCGCGGGCGCGGGTGGAGCTGTCAATAGAGGCATTCGGTTGAAATCTGATCTGGTCGACTTGAGCATCGGCGCACCCATCAGATCGGCGAGATTGCATACTTGTCGTTCCGACCCACCGTCTTTCGGCACATCCAAGCGACTCGGTGCCGTCTCATCAGGGTCGCCATTGGCACGGGGAGCGCCACGCATGTCTAACGGCCCCCCCCCCCTTCTCGAGATCGCCCTGTCGCCCGAACTCCCTGTACCAAGCGCGCCGCGCGCACCATTCGGCAATCATGCCCAGGTGGCCCCTGCACGCGGGCATCGAACACCGCGCGCAAACGTCGACGAGAGGCCCCGAACACACGCAACAATACTGACCTGGGTTGCCCGTTCGTGCGCGAGCCAGCGCGTCGTCATTCTTGCGAGCGGGGCGAGCAACGGTCGGGCGTGGAGGTGGCGCAACACGCATCGGCTGCGGCGGCGTCGATCCAAACCTCTCCGTCGGCCCCGCGCCTGCCGCCGAGGCCGCAGGCGCAAATTCAGCCCCCGGCAAGACCTCTGTCGCGGGCTGCCCGGTCGCCCGCGAACCTTCCCCCGCGACCCCCTGTTCATCCGATGCTGTTCCAGGTCAGATATTAGCCTTCTGTTCTCTTCACTTGCTGCGCGAGCGGCAAGAACATTGTTTCTCATGTGCTCATCTGCCCTTTCAGATGGCCCCAGGCCACGGCCATTTTCCTTTGGCCCTCGCTTCTGATCGCCTGCGCCTTCTGCTCGCGTTCTCGGAGGGCTCGCAGAGCTTCTACTTTTTCAGCCTCGAGTCTAGCAGCTTCAAATTGGTCACGGAGCTCTTGATTTTCACGCGCTGCTTGTTCTGGAGCCCCCTTCTCTCCTTCCCTCCAGGCGGCGCCAGCCATCTCTCTGCATTCGTTTTTTGTTATATGTCTCGGCCTTTTGGTGAGAAGCCGACAACATTTCTTCGGCCACATGCTGAATGTCCCTTTTCTCGTTCTCCTCTTGTGCAAGACGCCGCTGAGCCACATCCGTAACTCCTGCTACGCTAGCTTCTGCTTGCTGTATCCGTTTCTGCGCATCTTCCGCAATGACAACTCTCTCCCCCTCAACCTTTCGCGCCATTGCCTGTCTTTCTGCTTCGGATTACGCCGGCACGCGCTCGGCTTCTTCAACGGCCCGCCCATCCACTTGTGCATCGAGGATAATCTGCTGCACGCGTGAACTCGGAGCTCTCAATTGTTTTCGTTCCTGTCTCTGTTTGTCTTCCCCTTCTTGGATGGCAATGCGACGGCAATTGCGCCCCTCAAACGCAACGCATTCTCCGCAAAGCCATGCAAGGCTACACTTGGGACATACATTCGAGCAGTGCGAACATACAGGCCTTCGACGCGAGCCCCCCGGTTCATGCGCTCCCCCCGGGCACGGGTTCTCCGCCTGATGCGGGCACCTGAGCCTGGCACTCCAGCAACTGCCCCGCGTCGAGAAGCTACTGGTGGTCCTATTTGACGATAACCGAGGTGGCTCCAGGGCATTGAATCCTCTGGAATTGGAAGCAGGGGTGTAGCTCGTCTCTTACGTCCTGCATCACCAGCTCATCAAGTTCTGGCACCCTGTCCCGGCTAGACCTCGTCAATGCGAAGTCTGGTCGGTGAAAGCCTTCCTGCAAAGGGGAAACATGTAGGTCGTCACCCTCCCTCTTAGGCTTCTGCGTCTGTGGAAATGGAGATGTACCTGTAGGCTCTCTTGTATGCCTGACTGCACGTAAGACGTCAGGCGAGCTAGACATGGGCTGAGCCGACGAACTCTTGCCTCGGTCTGGGCTTCCTCCATCCCCGAAATCATCATCCGAATCAAGAATGGCTTCCTGGAAAGCATCGACCGTGGCATAATCAACTGTCTCGTTCTCAGACGTCAGGGAGAAAATTAGGATGATGCGGTGGGCCAGGCGAAGTATGAAATTGCGTATTCTTCACTCTTTTCAATTGAATGCGAACTGTCCCTTTACGATTGCAAATCGCTCACATCCTCGCCCTGTCCATGTATCGCATTGCGCTGCTTTTTTTCTGTGATGTAAATGTTGTCACATGACGCTTCTATGTGCATGCGTTCCAACAACTTCTTCATCTCATGGTCTAGGTCAATCGACGGTCGGAAACTCGGGTATATTGGTACTAAATCAGACGGTCCCCTGGCGGATGCATTGCCTGTGCCATACCTTCCGCCCGGGGGGTGCTCCCTAGCCTTGGTCATCGAATCAACTGGAGAATCCCATCCCCTTCTGTCAAGTCAAACACAGTTTTCGATTCTTGCCTTCTGGGAAAGTGGAGAGAATGAGGTCGCCTCATAGACGCGCATATATCACCAATACGCTCGGAATGGTACCGATTTTTTCCCTCCGAACGATTTTTCCTGTGATCCCATGCTTTGCGAAGCTAGCGGCTGAACCGTCGTTTCGGCTGATACCCCCGTTTTTTGCCTGAGTATTCATAATTCCTGCTAGATGTTCGGTAACTATATCCTGATCAATGGGCTTCGCCGATGACATGGGAAGAAAGGATCATGCAGTTAAGCTAGCAAAAAGGTAACCCTGAAGGGAAGAGGCCAGCCCGCTGGCCAACGCACGCGCGCGCGCCGCAGGCTCGCTCCTTTTCTGTTTCCCTAGAGCCAAACAGCGTTCAGGCAACATACAAGTCACAAGCAATATGAAGTGAGACAATCAGTGCAAGGCGAGAGAGCACGACGGGCAGCAGAGTGGTGGTGCGGGAGGGGTGCATTGACTCGTTCCCCTTCAGGGTCGGCGGCACCGGGCGCAAGGTCTTCGCAATATCTACGGGAGAAGAACACGTCCGCCTGGTCTGGACATCAAGGCACGACCTCGTGGATACGAGATCCCAGGGATACGCTCCGCGCGGGACATTTCTCGCAAAGCCACCCCGTGTCCATGGGATCGCGGCCACGAAGTCCAGACCGCGAGGCCACGGATACGGATGATTATTAGGAGAAGCTCGAAGTATACGCCAAGTCGCCTGGTCGATCAAGGAGCTCGGGGTATAGACGCTTTTGCTTCGCTGGAGCGCTGGAGCGCGTATGATTCGAACTCCTCCGCCGAGCTCGCTGGCTCCTTTAACGACCCAACAACGTGGTGTATGTACGTCGAGCCCCTCCAGAAGGAGGATGGGGAGAATCGGAGCGGGGCGAGTTGAGACGGCAGCTCAAAATCGGCTCCCAGACCCCTCCCAGGGTCCAACCGCACCAGCTCTCCGAGCTGCGTCCAGCCGTGGCGACGAGGGGGGCACCACGAAGGCCAAGTACCGTTGTCCCGACTCGCCCTACTCTGACGCAGAAGGCCAGAGCGGGCAGCGGCGGAGGGCGAAAAAAGAGCGCACGCCTGCGCCGTGCGGCCACCACTCCGCGAGCACCCCCGGCCGCCCGCGCCTGGCGAGCACCCGCTGCTTCCCACGCCTGCCTGGCCAGCGCCGCTCTGGCGCATCGCAGCCAGCGGGCCGCCATGCCGCCGACGCGGCCGCTGCGCGCGGGCGCTCCCGAGGCGTGGGTCCCCCCTGCGCGCACGGGCGCGGGAGCGGCAGGCCAGCACTGCTCGCAGCAGGCCCGAGCAGCCAGGGAGGCGGCGGCCCCAGAAGGCAGCAGGAAGGGGGCCAGAACTGGAGGGGAGAAACCGGGGACTATGACCAGGACTGAACGCGGAGACGCCACGTCGATCTTGGTCACCCTCTGTCTTGGTCAACGTCAACTCGTGGGTCGCCCTCGCGTACCCGCGACTGCCGACACGAACTATGACCAAGATCAGCATCGCCAAGTCTCGCCACATCTTGGTCATGGTCCCCGTGTCCCTTCCCTCGAAGAATGCCTGCGCCCCACGACAACCCGCCACGCGGGGCGCGATCGGCTCCCTGCGCGCGGGACCACGACGCCGACGACCTCCCTCCCAGACTTCCAGCCGCCCGTTTTAGGTGAGGCGGTCAGCCCCTGGACGCTCGGCACGCCAACCGCCCCCAGGACCGGCCCCCCCAGGCACGAAAAGGCGGGGTAGGGCCACGGGCGACGTGAGAGGAAGGCCGCTCTGGACGGCCCCAGGACAAAGAACATGTCAGCCTCAAGACGGGTTCGCTCCGTAAGCCCACGTTGGGTTAGCCCCCCCTCTACGCACCCCCGAGCCCTCCATCCTGGCCCGTTCTTCGTCGGCCCTCGGAAACGGAACGGCTGGGAACGGCCCCCTTCCATCCAGGCTTCGGAAACGGCCCCCAGACGCCGAGTGACAACAAGAAACCCCAGGGGCGGAGGAGGCCGACCACCCGCCAAGCACCCTTGCGCGCGCGCCGCCAAAACCAACAGACCCAAGCCTTCAACGCCTTGGTTTCTCCAACACAGATCCCCCCAGACCTGTCGACCTCCTCCCCTGAGCACATGCTTCTCGTCCTGAGCCGTTTCCTGACGGCCTCCGGGGGCCCAGCCAGGGGCCCGCGGAGATGGAAACTGGCGCAAGAGCCTTCCATCGTGATTTGTGTCAGGACGCTCCTCCTCCTCCTCCTCCTCCTCCTCCTCCTCCTCCTCCTCCTCCTCCTCCTCCTCCTCCGCCTCCGCCTCCGCCTCCGCCTCCGCCTCCGCCTCCGCTTCCTCCTCCTCCTCCTCCTCCTCCTCCTCCTTTTTCCTCCTCCTCCTCCGCCTCCGCCTCCGCCTCCGCCTCCGCCTCCTCCCACTCCCCCTCCCCCTCCCCCTCCTCCTCCTCCTCCTCCTTTTTCTCTTCCTTTTTCTTAGTATTCGTATTGAAAGTATTATGATTGTTGTTGTTATTAGTATTAGTAGTATTATGAGTATTAGTATTATTATTAATATTATATTAGTAGTATTAGTATTATTAGTATTAGTAGTAGTAATAGTAAAAGTAGTAGTAGTTGTTGTTGTTGTTGTCGTAGTACTAATAGTATTATGGTTAGTATTATTTTTAGTATTATTATTAGAATTATTATTAGTATTATTACTATCATTACTCTTCTGAGTCTTGTACGTATTAATAGTTTTCCTATGCTTAGTAGTCTTCTTCTTATTACCATTAGTATTGTCATCAGTATGAGTATCAGTGTCAATATTTCTATTAGTAGTAGTACTATTGTTATTCAAAAGAAATAATCGTATTCGTGTTAGTATTGCTATAGTTCTTACTACGATCATCAGCAACATCATTATTGTTGGTGTCGTTAGTATTCGGAATAGTATTCGTATAAATACGGATAGTACAATCATCACTAGTATCGTTACTAGTGTTACTAGTTTATAAGTACTGTGACTACTGCTTCCAAAACTAAAACTACTGACATTATCAATAGCATTACCAGTATCATTACCATTCTTAGTATGGTTATCATGCATACTCTGTTTGGTTCTGTCATAATATTATTCTGAATATGGTTAGTATTACTACTGCTAGTATTGTTGATATTCTCTTTGCTATGATTATAACCGTATTAGTATGATTATCATTGCTGGTGTTATGATAAGTATGAGTATTGGTAGTGCCAGCACTATTCATATTGTTCTTAGTAGTCGTACTAGTTTCTTCTTCTGATCAGTAGTACTGTTCTTGTGCACATCATTAATATTATTCGTAGTCGTCTTATTCGCATTAGTTTTCGTATTATGCTAGTACTCTTCTTGTCATTATCAGTGTTAATATAAAAAAAATAGTTTTGGTATTTATAGAAATATTATCAATACTAAACTTAATCTTTTGGTTATTCTTAGATAGTCTTCTTATCTTCATTTTATTACTATTAGTATTCCTCCCCGTCCACCTCCTCCTCCTCCTACCCCTCCTCCTCCTCCTCCTCCTCCTCCTCCTCCTCCTCCTCCTCCTCCCCCCCCCTCCTCCAACTCCTCCTCCTCCTCTTCTTCCTCCTCCTCCTAAAACTACTACTACTACTACGACGACTACTACTACTACTACTACGACGACTACGACGACTACTACTACTACGACCACCACTACTACTACTACTACGACTACTACTACTACTACTACTACTACTACTACTACGACTACTACTACTACAACTACTACTACTACTACTACTACTACTACTACTACTACTACTGCTGCTACTGCTACTGCTACTACTACGACGACCACTACTACGACTACTGCTACTACTACTACGACGACGATAGTAGTAGTAGTAGTAGTTGTTGTCGTATACTACTAGTATTATGTTTAGTATTATTACTAGTATTATCATTAGTAGTATTACTAATATAAATAGTCTGAGTCCTGTGCGTAGTAATAGCTCTCCTATGATTAGTAGTCTTCTTCGTATTACCATTTGTATTGTCATCAGTATGAGTATCAGTGTCAAGATTTCTATTAGTAGTAGTACTATTGTTATTCAAAAGAAATAGTAGTATTCGTGTTAGTATTGCTATAGTTCTTACTACGATCATCAGCAACAGCATTATTGTTGGTGTCGTTAGTATTCAGAATAGCATTCGTATAAAATCTGATAATACAATCATCACTAGTATCATTACTAGTGTTACTAGTTTATAAATACTGTTACTACTGCTTCCAAAACTAATACTACTGCCAATATCAATAGCATTACCAGTAGCATTACCAGTCTTAGTATGGTTATCATGCGTACTCTGTTTGGTTCTATCATAATATTATTCTGGATATGGTTAATATTACTACTGCTAGTATTGTTGATATTCTCTTTGCTATCATTATAACCGTATTAGTATGATTATCATTGCTGGTGTTATGAGAAGTATGAGTATTGGTAGTACCCGCACTATTCATATTGTTCTTAGTAGTCGTACGAGTTTCTTCTTCTGATCAGTAGTACCGTTTTTGTGCATATCATTCGTATTATTCGTAGTCTTCTTATTCGCATTAGTATTCGTATTATGCTAGTAATCTTCTTGTCATTATCAGCGTTAATATAAAAAATAGTTTTGATATTGATAGGAATCTTATCAATACTAAAATTAACCTTTTGATTATTCATATATAATCTTCTTATCTTCATTTTATTACTATTAGTAGTGCTCCCCTTCCTCCTCCTCCTCCTCCCACCCCTCCTCCTCCTCCTCCTCCTCCTCCTCCTCCCCCTCCTCCTCCTCCCCCCTCCTCGAACTCCTTCTCCTCCTCTTCTTCCTCCTCCTCCTCCGCCTCCTAAAACTACTACTACTACTACTACTACTACGACGACTACTACTACGACGACTACTACGACGACTACTACTACTACGACCACCACCACTACTACTACTACTACTACTACTACCACTACTACTACTACTACTACTACTACTACTACTACTACTACGACTACTACGACTACGACTACTACGACTACTACTACTACGACGACTACTACTACTACTACTACTACTACTACTGCTACTACTACTACACGACGACCACTACTACTACTACTACTACTACTACTACTACTACTACTACTACTAATAATACTACTAATACTACTAATACTACTACGCCTACGATTACTACTACTACTACTACTACTACTACTACTACGACCACAACAACTACTACTACGACTACTACTACTACTACTACTACTACTACGACTACTACTACTACTACTACTACTACTACTACTACTACTACTACTACTACTACTACCACTACCACTACCACTACCACTACCACTACCACTACCACTACCACTACCACTACCACTACCACTACCGCTACCACTACCAC